ATGCTTACAAAAACATGCAAAACACCCACAGATCCTGAGCGGCATTCAGGCTGTAATCCTAGCAAGGTAATGAGATTTATCAAAGCTAAATCCCAAGATTTTTTTTTATTACACTGAGAAAGCATGTTCAATTTCAGTATTTGTCGGCATGTGTGAATTCAGCTTATAATTTGTTTATAGCACGTTTGATACAAATTTCAACCAAAATTTGTGTAGAATATACGTAACTAACAAATCAGAAACAATTCTGACATCTCAAAAGTTTACTTTGAGACCTACTTCATTCCTTCCCAAAACATTAAAAGAATTATCTCTTCATAGTCATACAAACTAGAAGTTAATGAAATTTCAAGCTCCAGACCTTAAAAATCCTGGTAGCATTTTACCTCCTACATATAGCACATGACAATTGTCCTCATTTGTTATGAATTCTTTCCTCACCTGATTTATCAGAATTCTTACCTGAACTATTATTATTATTATTATTTTCTCTGAATTACCAAGGCCCGGACCCAGCCATTAGCAGAGAGCAGACATGATATACCTAAGGTAAACTGTTAGCTGACAGTTCTTACTTTTTCAGTATCGGGTAAATTCTTACACTGGCAAAGGATCACTTTATCTAGTAAGTGATGAAGTATTTATCTCACTGGTGAGAGTTTAAAATAGCAATCAAAATAAAGTCAGAACTAGGAAATATTAGACTTTTCAATTTATCGAAAGACTGTTACTAATGCTTGCCTGTTCTTTAAGGAAAGATGTTTGTTTTATATGAAAAAATACATCCTTGGTGATTTCAGACTTCAGAAAAATTATATGGAATGAGAGGCTGCTCTTTGCCCTTAAATTTGAAAGAAATTATCCTAATTTCATAACTTATATTGTGGCTTTTTAGTATTTGCTGTACAGCAGTATTTACCTACCACATACGATTAACTAAGTTTTATGATACCTCTGTTAGACAGATGTTTTTAAAAAGGAAAGAGGAGAGATATACAATGTTTTGGGAAAAAAGCCTCTAATCCATAATCCTGATGCAATTTCCTCAGGTCTTTCATGGGAAGAATCCTGCAGTGGAACCCCAGACTTCATGTTAAATTAGGGCAGAAAATACTCTTTGCTCATAAAACATCCTTAACATCCAACAAAACTCCAATAAAACTGCTATTACATGGATTACCAGTATCTTACACACTGAAAATTTGAAAATACCCACTCTGTAAAGAAGTCCAAGCATAAAAGCCAAGAGCAAATATTCAGGCTAATCTGTAACATTTGATCAGTCTCAGATATTAAACTGCAAAATGTATAATGCTGCAAGAAAGTAAAACTTATTGGCAAATCAGCCCAGAACACTAGTGGGAAGAACACAGCCCCAGGGGAGAGGCACATCTTGTAAGGAAAATAACACGGCAAAGTCCATAAAACAAGTTTAAATATATCTTAATGCCAAGCCACAGTGCAAACCCAATGTATTTATTTTCTATTAATGACAAGGTCAGGTACAAGTCTGTGACCAAAATCTGCAGGTAACCTAACATTGTGCGGCTGCGACCGTTCACCGTATGGAGCAGTGTTGATGCAGCAGGGCAGGAAGGGCACGAGAAGGGCAACTCCCCAGCTTGCTCCGCTGTCCCTCCCGGCAGATTCATGTCCAGTTGAAATTTCATGCCAAGAGAGCCTTACGTCGATGCCCAGAGAGGGAGAACAAGATTTAAAAGGATGTAAAGAAGGGAGAAGAGAGCTATAGATGTTTTAAGAGAAAGGCAGCAAGGCATAGAGACGCAGGAGGATAAAGCCATTGTGCAAAAGACAAGATGGTCTGTTCGGACGGGAAGAAGGGACTGGCAGCGACGAGTGCTGAGTGTCACAAGAAGGTGAAGGCAAATGCAGGCTAAAGCGTAATTGCTTTAGGATTTTATTTTTAGTCATATTGTTACAGAAAAAGGGCTTTCAAAGCAGCGTCCTTTATGGCTAGCATGTTCATCTGCCTTTAACCAGGATCTAGAAAGACTACATCACCAGCGTAAAGGAAACTTTAAATGTCACTGTAAAATCTTTACTGAAGAAGAAGAGTTCAAACTGCAAGTTACAGATCCTGAACCAAACTTCCCAAAGTTTGGAGCACCCCTATTTCTGAACATTTACCATTAGAAGTGTTTTTAAGAACACTTAGAGGAAAGGATTAATTTTTTTCTATTAACAGTAATGCCAAGGATAGTAAGAATTAATTCATGCAAGTTGTAATGGATTCTCAAACTCAGAAACATTTCTGTTCCCTCAGAAAACATCCATGAAATTTGACATAATTCATGTAAACTCAGTCTTCTGACATTTATGAACCAGTCACATCAAACTCCCCATTTCTGGCCATATTAGCTCTCACACATACATCCTTTCCATCGTGAAAGAACTGACTGATTAAAAATTCAGAGATGGCAAGCAGAAAGCAAGGTTACTTATTGAAGCGGAAGGAGCAGACACTTCACCAAACTGCCTGGCCTTCTGTTGGGCAGAGATCTAAATCCAGTCCAGAGACACTGAGAAGAATCAGAGCGACTTTAAATTCTGGCAAGGTACCTTTCCTACAGGGTATTTCTTTGCTTCTGTAGAAACGTATGAAATATTAATGTCAATTCATTACACATCAATGCATTTGTATACTCCCCTGTTATCAAGTGTCCAAATGAAAACAGTCTATTCTGAATAATTTACTCCTGAATCATCAGCCGGCTTTCTTCTACAAATCCAGGAGATCTTCACTACTCATCAAATCACATCTATGACTGACAACCTTTTAGAAAAGATGTTCTCTCTGTTAAAGTTTCAGAAAGGTACCAGTGTATGTGTATTTGATGTGCTACAAAACTTGATATTTAGAACAGATATAAATGTGCTAACAGTAGAGTAAAAATACATACAAAGGCTATAAAACATGACTGTTTTATGTTTGTGGGATGGATCCAGAATGCAAGAACAACTTGTTCAACCTCCAGTAGTAAAGTCTCTGCTACCACCTTTCCAGGAGGTACCCAAACACATGTGGGAAGAGGCTGAGGGCTGCATGAACTCTTCTGGCAACCCATTTGCTGCTGTTTCGGTCCCAGGGTTCCCCCAGCTCCCCCTGCCTCAGCCCATCATGTGAGCATGCTACGGACTGCCTCAGCCAAAAGCTTTGCAGCAGAAAACCTATTTAAACCAAAGCTAAAAGACTACGTGAAACCACGGCGCCTTAAAATAAATACCAATTTTGACTCAAGTGGTGACAATCCTAAGTACTCCATGATTCTTCCTGTAAGTACCAGTCTAATACTCTTATCTGCACCGACAGTCAGACTTGCCGACAGCTCACTACTGCCCTGTCCTCAGCAAAGGAGACAAAAGTTACACTGATGGCCGTTCAAAAAAATACATTCACAACCACCACTTCCCCTTGAAATATGAAGCCGCATTGCTAAAATAATTCATTCTGGCTTGGCATGGGGCTCTTTGGTAAGAGAAATTACAGCGTTTCAGAAATGTCTATTCTTCCTTCACGTTCACATCCCCTTTCTCTCACTGCACAGGGTAGAAGAAATGTAAATGTACTTGCTGATTGATGTTACCATAATAATGCATTACCAGGGAAAAAACAATTTCAAAGCAAGAGTCACTAACTACATAATTCCCTTATGAAATACAACAGTGATTCAGAGTTAAGGATTTTTGTTTTTTAATGAACACGGGTATTTTTCCCATTTGCTCACTAATGTACTCATTCTAATGTACTCACTGTAACTTTTTTTTCTTTTAACTTTTTTCCATTTGTTACTAATGGAATGTAATTATTTCCGATCTGAAGAACCTGAGCAGAAAACTCCGCTTTTTTGAGGCTTGGAAAAAACCTAAAAGCACACACCGCTATTGCCTTGGTCACTGCAGAGATACACCAGTGGAAGGCTGAGGGCCAGCACTTGGGAAGCGTAAGCTTTCAACGACTGAGAGGACTATCAGAGTAACTTCAGTGATACACACTGTCTCAGTAGCATCCCAATTTACTGGTACTTTCATTCTGGCCTTGGTATAGCCACACAGTTTCAATTAAATCATTCAGTCTCCACAGGTATACTCCAGATGTGTATATATGTGTGTCTGTGTGTACGTACACACACATAGACATTTTAGGTATACCTAACCCAGGTACTCTTTTGGTATAAGCTACTAAAATATTATGAAATCCAAGGAAACTTTCTAAATGTTAACTATTAACAACAAAAGCCCCGAATAGCTCATGGTGCTATTTGCAGTAGCTACTGCTAAGAAATGAGGTTTTAAGATTTGCTAACACATTGCAGAGGAAAAAAAGATACCAAAATGAACACATTTGCTGTCAGAAAAAGACAGGAAAATTGAAGATGGGAAGCTGTGCCTTTAGTTGTGCATCCATATGAATTATAAAGATTAAAAAGAAACGCAGTGTTCAGCACTGATAGAGCTATATATCTCTTTCAGGCAGATAAGACCAGATTGCATAATGGGACTGGTAATAAAGATGCACTTGTAACATGAAAATAGGTGGTGTATAAAGTAAAGAGGAATCCTTGATCATCATAATTTGTGAACTTCATTCTTTTTCAGCTTCTACTTTGCAGATATTACTTAATTTATTTCATTAGAAAACGACTAATCAACTTCACAGTGCATGGAATACAAATACAATCTTAATGTAATTGCTAGTACAGCTAATTTTATGTTTGATTTCTATACCCTCAGAGTTTCCAAGCTTAATGTAAAGATTGCTATACATATATGAAGATATAAAATAAGCAAAAAATTGCATTCGCCACCCTGAGTGTATCTTTGTATCCAAAGACAGACCACAAGTTCAAGTACATTAGAGGCCCAGTGGTGAAAAATACACTGACTTGATTTGACTGATGCAGTGAATTCAGCAATAGATAAAATGTCTCAGCACATATGTAGCTAAATCAGGTTTTTATATTTCGCAAAAGAAAGCTTACCTGCCCATTTTTCCCCAGTTCCATTTCAACTATTGCGACAGGAGTGTTTATCTGATCGATGTGTCTTGACTGTGACTTCAGATCCACTCGCCAGTTCATGTTTTTCAAGACGTTATCCCAACGGCTTTGATTGATCAGGCTCTCGTGGATCTTTATTCGGTGGTTCTTCCAAAATTTTGCAATGACCGCAGCTTGATCGGATGTGATGCCACCTTGTTTTTTGGTTTGGGCAGTGAGAAAAGCCTCCAGCTGATTCAAATCCATGTCTGCTGAAGCAATTGACTGTAGGGAAAAAATAGTGAAAGTAAGAGGAGAACAAGGAAAAAGCTTGCTCAAAAATACTCTTTAACAGTCTAAGCGAAACAAAAGGTCGCATCTTCAGGGTTTTACAAATACTGGATTTTAAAGGCATACTGCAAACAAAGCTGGGTTATGGAAATAACCTGACAACTTTCATTAAAACTCAGTTTGCAAGTGCCTACCATTTATCCCAGATTCCTGCCCCCAGACAGCTGCAGGGTAATGGGTTGTTAACAGTGATGAGGAAACTGGGAGCAACTTTGGGAATGCAGTACTGGTACAGGATAACAAGGAGGCTTCTCACTGCCTGCCCGGCCCCAGTATGCCCTATGCATACCCGACTGGCTGCTGCTGGGGACAGTCTGCTGGGAGCTGGGTCAGGCATGGTACTGCTGTTCTGATGGTCGGAAAGCTGCGGCATAGATGGCATACTCCCGGCCAAGACTGAAACAAGTGAGGAGACATCTCAGCTCGTTGCAACATCCACAGCTTCATCTGCCACTTCCACACCGCAGACAAGGAAGCAAAACTAGTAAATGCCACACCAGTCAAGCAGGGTCTGCAGCACTGGCCACGGTGGTGTGCTGACTGCAGCAGCAAGAGCACGAGCCTTCAAAGGGAGAGCCTGTGCATGGAGCAATCCTTAAGAATGCAGCTGCAGCGTCTTCTGAAGCGTCAGTGGACTCTCTCAGGCTAAATACTGTATTTGTGTTTTGCCAGGGAGCGTAAGGGGTCATTTATGCCTCCTCCCTGTGCAGCCATAGAAATTATTCTTCCTGAACCTCTTTTTTAACAGATATCTATCTTTTCCACCTATTTTTCCAAAGCTGATAACCCTACAGCCTCAAATTTGCGTTGCCTAACTGGTAATGGTTGCTAAATACATCTGTGAAGGGAGGGGAGGACAGGAGGTGGAGAGAGGAAACTGTGGCTAAGTTTCCCCACTGTAGTTTCAAGCAGACGCTTTTGCTTCATTCTCACCTAAAATGAACGCAGCTTACCCTAAATGAACGTGCCACCTCCAACCACACGCCAACTTGGAGCTCAGCAAGGTGAAGCATGGCCAACGCTGCAATCTTTGGGATTTGCATCCATTTAATTTTCCCTGACATGGTGTTCCTACTGCGCTACTCCCCGCGTTCAGGGAAAGGACAACCTTGCCCTGCCGTTAGCTGCCGTTAGCCAGGGAGGTGACAACATGTGGCTTTTGGCCGGACACACACTGTGTTCTTCACGCTGCCTGTCTGCAAAGCAGGGTGTCACTTATGTAAAAACTGAGGGGTTAGCGCTCTGGGAGCTTGCTGAGGACACAGGACCTGCTGCTTATCCCCATTTCATCAGCGATCAACTAAAACTGCCAGCGCGGTGAATGACCCACAGGCTTTGCCACCTTCCTCTACACCAGACAGACGTCAAAGTAGGCGATCTTAGTCACACCAGGAGTGGCCTGAAATAAAACGGCAGGTAAAAAAAACCCCACAAACAAAAAAACCCCAAGAACTAGCCAAAACCAGAGCTCACGTATCATGCAAGCAACAGAGCAGTGGCAGGTTTAGTGCTTTGAGGGGAGTAAAGCCAACACCGTGACTTGCTCAACCTCCAGCAGATACTCCACCACATCCTCCTTACCCTGAGGTTTTTTTCCAAGACAGAAAAAAAATGAGAAAAAAACCCAGAAACATCCCCCCCAAAACTCCAACAAACAATAGTTCACTGCCTTTTATCATCCAGTGTACAAGATCTTTCTCCTGAAGCTTTTGTAATTTTGGGGGTGGGGTTTTTTGTTTGGGGTTTTTTTGTTTTGTTTTGTTTTGTTTTAAGTGGGACACACCACCTTCCCTCGCTCTCGCAATGGATTAGCTGCCATCTGTTAAGTGATCGAGAAAAGAAATGGCAATCCACACCAGAAGTAACTGCTATCAAGGTTCCAGCTTAATAAGAGCATCTGCCAATTTATTACAAAATTTGAGATGTCTCATATACTACTCTGTCTTTTCTATAGGGCATTCACCATACCTGTATATATTATTTTCTTTTATCATGAAGATATTTAACTTAAGAGGTAATTATCTTGTAATATCGCATTATGTGGTAAGTGAAAAAAAGCACTTATTTTCATTTTCAAAATTAAAGCTATTTAGACTTACAGTCCTTTCCTACATCTACATCTTACATGAACAGGACTGTCTATTAACAGCAGTGTGGAATATTTTCTGGTTTAATACTTTTCATATCACTACATCTGTGTGTGGATGTTGTGCGATACCAACTACCACTTATGTATGTGTTGGTTTATGCGAGGGCAGGGAGGAAGAGCCGTGAATCTACAACCCCAGACCCCAGCACCCTCGGTAAGCCCTGTCAAGACCAAGATCAAGTTGAGATGCAGACTTTCTTCTCAGTTCAGCTGTGCAGAAAATTGCCTTCTGTCTTATTCCTGTGCAGAAACCAAGAACATAACCTGCATCCTCTGCACTGAACGAAGCAAAGCTGTCACAGAGAAACATCTAATCTGCATTAAATGTGAACCTAATATAGGTAATCCTTTTCTCGGCTTGGTTTTATAACCTTCAAGTATTTAACACTTGTGATTCTTAGGTGTTTCTTTTAACCTCACCCCCTTCACAACTCTTTTTGCAAGATGCAGCAAGATTTCTGGCAGGGCTTTGCTAAGCTTGTAAAAAATGCACACACACAGAGTTCCTTATTGTGCTTGACACACTATATAAATCTGACATAAATCTGATACACTAAAAGTGTATCCGAAAGAGGAAGCTTATGACCAAGGTTGCAGTTTTAAGTGTAAGGATGACAAAACAAAATTACTGGGGCTTATACTGGACAGCTAAACTTGCCTGTTTGGCAAAGACCATCAACAGATTGACAATTAGTTAAGATCCAGCGTGAGCTACGTTTAAAACCTCTGTACCTTCATGTACTATAAGCACCATGATATAGTTTGCTACCAAAATACTGTCATGTAAAAGAGAGGAAGGAAACCAGGTATCATAATCGGCAATCATTTCTCTCTCCCACAGACACGTGTGCACACGTACACACAGTATGCATCACTTCATACTGCATGTATACACAGCTAAGAAACAGGAAGGTAACAACCATACTGTATTTTGGTGGAATATTTATCAGATAGCTCATGCTTTAAATAACATACCAATACATTGCATCATTCAGACTAGAATTTCTCTCAGCTTGGAAACAGGACTACTATTTAAAAACTCCTTTGTAAAAAAAATGAATAGAAATTTTAATTGGAAGCAGGTACAAGCAATCAATGAGTTATACCCCAGTATAGCTGCATGAAGATATTAATGAAGACTTTTCTTTTTTTTTTAATTCCTCAATAAAACCTACCAGCTATAAAGGTTTTCAAGTCAGAGAAGAACAGCAACTCATTTTAACATTCTTTTTCATCCTAACTTGGTAACATTTAATTGTTGACAGTAAACCTGATATAAGTTACAAAGAATGAGAGAACAATTAAGGTCTTTGCAGATCTTTCATCTCCTTTATTGTACAAACACACAACTCATTCTTTAAACAAGCGTAGTTCTACTCTATTGCTGCAATGAATGACCACAGTTAAATTTTGGACTTTTCTTTAAGCTTGAGGGAATGTTTTAATTTAACTTGGCAAAAAAATGTATTTCCAGTCATATTCTGCATGGCATTACAAGCAGTTCCTTCCACTACTTTTAGCAACACTCACAGAATATCAAATTACAGTGAATACACCTTATTGATATTTCTAAGGATTAATTTAAAGTTAAAACATGAGGGGTTCTTCTGCGTATATAACTAAAGACAGATAAAATATAGGTCTCCCTCTCATGTTTTTAAACCCTAGGGGCTTTGGACAAGCATCTACCCCCACCAGGACAACGACCAGCTTTTGTCTAGCTCCCACGGCAGTGAAGAAGATGGTTTCACTGCCAGAATAAACAACACACGCACATTTTAGCATCATTACTGGAAACTTTTCAGGACTTAAAGATATTGAAGCCTATTTAATCCATCAGCTCCTACACTGTCAGCATTGGTCCAAGAGGGATACATCTTATTAATGCTAATTACTTAGTCCAGACAGACCTTAAAGTGCAGGATCTACTGCAGAAACTCGAGTCACTGTACTGTCAGTAGCACATGTCGTTATATTAGAGAGACTTTCTATTCTAAGCTAAGTGTGTGTACACAGAGATCCTGCTTTAGTTGTTTCCCACCTCATCTCTTCAGCAGTCATCAATAACCACACTTCGGCTATATGTTATCACAGGCCCCTTTTCATTTACAGATTGTCCCATCTCTATGCAGTTCTACAGCACGTCACGAAGTGTTGTGTTAAAAGCATGACACAGAGGAAAAAAAGCTATGTAGGACCTAATCCCAGGTTTTAGTGGTAATCACTAATTATTTACTATTGCAACATAAAAATTTTCAACTAACAAAAAGTAGAAAAGTTTTCTAAAAAACTATAAAACCATAGCTACTGTATACCAGTAATTTCATTTACATTACTCACTATGAGTATCTGATCAAGTGACTAAGTAAAAAAAAAAAAAAAAGCCTATTTTCAAAACTAGAGTCTGTAAGAGAACACCATTTGTTAAAATACGGGCCTTTTTCCCCCCCCAGAAAGCACAGCTTATGGACAGCATGTCGTACTAGAGCACGCAAATCCCACCTCCAGCAACTGGCTACACCTTTCCTTCCAGAGGCTGGGCAGATGCTTTTAAACAAGAAGCAGTTTTGGTGATACTGACTTCTTCTGTTCACCTTCAATACATACCCACTATGTCTTCAAATATAATTCAGCCAATAAAAATATGACTTCAAATACTATTTCCTTAATGGAACAATATTTGATAATCCGGAGAGTTTTGTATTGGCTTAATTAGATCCACTAGACATGTGCCTTGGTACACAGAACAGGAAAACAGACTTAAATTCATTAGCTCTTCTGAGAAATAAAGCCTGACAAGCACGCAATACTAGTAAGAAACAACAACTGGTAAAACTCACTAGGAAAAAAGAACACACTTCATTTCCAGAAATAAAACCTTACTTATCAAGCATTATGGAAGAGCCCCAAGAGCTGGCCGTGCCAGCATGTATAGGCATTTTCTCCAGCTGACCCTCAAAATCGCAGGCTGCTGCCAGCCTGTAGCACAAAGAAATCACAAGCTCAGAGAAACAATTCAGTGCTGCGTAGCGTACTAATGAGCTCGCCTCTTCAGGTTTTGGGGAGGTGGGGATGAGAGGTATTCCTCTATCACAACCCTTGTAATTCAGATGCTCTTAGAAATACGACCTTGAAAACGATTTCTCAGACCCTTGGAGCACATGCACAGAGAGGGGGGACCTGCTGCAGACAGGAGGAACATGCCAAGGGACCCTGCTCGGCCAAAACATTTTGATCACACAAAGCCAATTCCCATTAATGTCAGGATACCGTGCATTTCTTTCACTTATCCTTAGAAGAACACCTTTACTGGATTTGAGGTAAACATGGGGTGTCTGGTACATGCAGCTTTGGGTTGCGTAGCTTCTTTCTCCTTACCTAAAAAGAAAGGCAACCCTGGGAGAGCAGAAGGGGAACAGAAGCAGCTCTCATCATCTTTGGATGTAACAGCACACGCGGGTCCTGGTGACACTAAGCTATTTGTCAAAGTTAGCTCAGCGTGTTCTTCTGCAAATAGTAGCTTCAGACAGGAGGAATATGAGAACATCCCTGCAGTGCTGCGGCTGCCGGGTCCTCCTCTGTAAGTACTAACCCGAGGGCTGCTGAGATAGCCAGTCCTGCAATAAATGAGCTGTTCCCATCGATGTTCCCTGGATATTATTCCAGTAGACTTTCCCACGTTTCTGGAGACAGCGGAGGTTTTCAACTAGTTGGTAGGTTGTGCCTCACAAACACTGTTTATTAGAGTCCAAGAGCTCTCCTGAGAATTGGAATTAAGATAAAATTAGATGCAACAATCTGCTTTATCTGCACTTGAAAATG